AGGTCATATTAATGGAGCATAAAACTCAATAACAATTGTTTCTTTGCTTAGCAAGCCAACCATTTTTTTTTTTTTTTTTTGAGGAATTTGTAAAATAATTACCTGTTTTGAATATGACAATGCCCTTGAGACAAGCGTACTCAGTCGGATCAACCATAAGAGCCTTGAACTTTGAAATGATCTCTTGTAATATCCGGATTTCGCTCATGATATTCACAACTCTTTCTGGTGGTGAATGATCGGTGTTGATCCCTGTAAAGAAACGAAATATCGCAAATTAAAACAGATTGTTGGAGAGCGTGACGCTTAAAAAAAATAGAACAATTAAAGTCTGAAAACAAAGAAATAGAACAGTGAGTTGTCTTAATATGACGGGTCGAGAGACAGCTTAAAATGTCGCACTAGATTAATTTTTCTCGACTTTTATCTTTACGCAAAGCAAAGTGAAATGAAAGTGTAAGAAACTAAACAAACGTTTCTGAGAAGAGACGACTATAAAAGAGCAGAATTCAAAAAGATAGATGACTGTTGATTCAGCATCTAAATTTTTAAAGATTGTAGTCGACCGGAAGTAAGAAACCGGAAGAGAAATCCACAGATGAGAAGTGCCAGAGAAGAAACTATTAGAATAAAACATTTAGGAATTTCAACAATCGAATGATGAGACCTAGCTGCTAATCTAGTACTGCGTTTAAATTCATTAAGTAGAGGCATCAAAAAGAAAAATTCATAAGAACAATCACCATGGAAATATTTATTGAAATTGCACAGAGAAGCCATGCTACGCCGGTTGGAAAGTGAATTAAACCGATATACCAGGTCAGAACCGATAACATTGCATATTCCCTTATTGATTTTTTCAAGAATCTCGACATGCATAGCAGAATCACCAAACTAGATTTTCTTGCGAGATCAGGGATACTTTTTACCGATTTTTCTAATGTATGTGTGTCGCATGAAAATTACATTGTTGAGTGTGTCTACAGAAAAGTGGAGACATATAAAAGAAAAGAAATTATTGAAAAAGTTTTTTGTTTTTTTTTTAGATAATAGTATTTTTAGTGATACATGTCTTACTAATTAACCTATAGCTGGGGGAGAAGAGGTGGATTCCTACTTTTCCCAAGAGTATTTGCCCGCAAGTGCATATAAGGAATATATCTGGAATTGGAACTCGGTTCTTCGATTAGCAACTCTTAGCCATTATCCATTACACCACCCGTCCTGTTTTGTTTTTTGTTTTTTTTTTTGTTGTTGTTGTTTTTTTTTCACTGTGGACAGTTTGAGAAACCAACACAAGGAAGGCGAGATAGAGTACCATGAAAATTGCTTGAAAAGGAGGTTTCTTGAAGAAAGAAACTGGAAGCACAATAATAGCAGCCCAAGATGAGGATATTAGTAAAAAGAAAAAAATGAGGAAATATGTGGTTAACTCGATGAAACTATAGCATACATTGTGAGTGAGTGCCTAAATGTAGCCCAGAATGAGTATAAAAGATGAAGATATAAGCAAGTAACTAAAATCATTCATTTGAAGTTATTTTTTTAAACATTTCACCCAAAGCAAGGCAGGAGTACCACTAGCACGCAAGGGGTTACAGAGAGTGAGAGCCAAAGTAAAGAGGCGTATTTGAGGGAAGGATAAAGAGAAGGACGGGGATCAAGATCAAAGTATTACATTACCCTTGAATATTTGAAGATTATAGCTATCAGGGAAGCAAGTAAGAGGAAGGGAATTCCACCGTCGGGAAGTGCGAGAGAAGAAGCTGTTGGAGTAGAAGAGGCAGTTACATTTAACTGTTTCGACAGTAAAGGTTGAGATCGAGATGCAAACTTAGCAACACTCTTAAATTCGTACAGTTGAGGTACCAGTAAAAGTATCTCGTCAGAGCAGTTGTCATGTAAACATTTGTAGAAAAGACAGAGTGACGTCACAGCACGTCCGTGAGAAAGTGACTGTAGTCGAGATGCCAGGTCAGGATCTAAGTTATGTGAGAAGTGTGGTGTTCAGCGAGAAAAGCAATTGTACAACAATAAACCTGAGAACGTCTTTGAATCAGAAACATGCAAGATTTTGTAAGATATCTCAATACAAACAGGTAAGAAAATGAAGCACAACGAACAGGATATTTGTTAGAAGTTAAAATAGAAAGAAATGATTAATCATTTATCTCGCACTTTCTTTTAATACAAGAATGGGGCTAACGGAAGAAGAGAACGTAATTAACTATGACCCATTGAACTTTGAACTCGCAAGGATTTAGAAGTTGACAAAAGTTACAATCATGTCAGTTGCCATTGGACCACTTGATACACTGACTAATCATTACACCACATCGAGAATTTGGACAACGCTGAACCCTAACATATCTATTGATTTCTTTTAAACAATAGCGAGGGGTTTAAATCATCAAGTGCCTTCACATCTCTGTATTTACTGAGAAGCAAAGTCTTTGTCAAAAGCGAAATATCTTACTCCAAACATAGTCATCTTTGTGGCAAGACAATAAGACACTTGTCATCTAAACTGATCCACAGTGACAAACACAGCTGTAACGATATATATATATATATATATATATATATATATATATATATTTATCATTCAAAAAATACTATTCCTCCCATTTTTTTCCTAATTTTACACGCGAAATTCAAAACGTACACGTCAGAGATGTCAAATGACAAGTTAAGAACCATCATCTTTGTTTTAATGTCCATGTTGTGAGGTCACAACTTGTACGTGAGAGAGTAGTCAGTCGGAGTGTTTGAACACGTGGCTGACTTCAGATGGCGCTGGTGGGGAGAAATGTGCTGCATCTGGAGAAAAAAAAGTTGCTGATCCTTAAGTCAGACAACATACAGATGGCTTTCTACTTAGTTGCGGGTGATGCATATTATAGTGTTTTTTCTTTGCATTCGACAAATACAGCTCGCCAACTTAACCGACTGACAGAAAACCAAAGTAATGTGAGGTCTGTATGCATATATGCTTTTCAACTACACAATTGTGTATTTGTAAACATTTAAGTTTGCATGTATTAAAAGTTTATAAACAAGGTCAGTGTAGTCAACTCTTTTAAAAAGTAAAATCAGAAATAAGCACACACACACACACATATATATATATATACTAAGAGACAGACAACTTTAAAGGTTCATGGGATTATAATTTATTTCCTTAGGGCCGGGATTTTTTTCTTAATTCTTCTGATCTCCATTTTCATACAAAATACGGGTGACAAATTTTCCGGGGTTAAAAACTTATATATCATATTATGAAGAATGGAGATCTGAGCTGCCTGGATTACATCCTTCGAATTATCCATACTGATTACCAAATAACTTCAATAACTAACTAACTAATTATATATATATATATATATATATATATATATATATATATATATATAGAGAGAGAGAGAGAGAGAGAGAGATAGATAGATAATTAATTAGTTAGTTAGTTAAGTTATCATATTATGAAGAATGGATTACATCCTCCTTGGAATTATCCATACTGATTATCAAATAACTTCAATAACTAACTAATATATATATATATATATATATATATATATATATATAGAGAGAGAGAGAGAGAGAGAGAGAGAGAGATAATTAGTTAGTTATCATATTATGAAGAATGGATTACACCCTCCTTGGAATTATCCATACTGATTACCAAATAACTTCATTAACTAACTAATTAACTATATATATATATATATATATATATATATATATATATATATATAGATAGATAGATAGAGAGAGATAGAGAGAGAGAGTGATGGGAAATGTATGACAAAGTGGAAAAGAGGTTTTTGCGACGCGTTTCGTCATTTAGAACCTCATTGAACTTCACTAACTTTGTTATATTGATGCGACTACACATGCGCACGAACCAGGGATGCTGGGAATTTAAAATTTTTTTTTTTTTTTTAATCTAGTCAATTTCATTTAGATTCTTTTCCTTTTTTCTTTCCATCATATTTGTTAGTAGATGTCTCACACTGTGATAATAGAAATTCTGCCAGGAATGGTGAAGTGATGTAAAAAAAAAATTAAAACTTTAACTTTCAAATTCCCAGAATCTCATGCTTGTGCGCATGTGTAGTCGTACCAACATAGCAAATTTAGACTGATGAAGTCCTAAAGGACGAAACGCGTCACAAAAAAACCTTTTTTTACTTTTTCATATATTTTTCCCCAATATTGTTCTTGATATATAAAAATATATATGGTTATCTCATATATATATATATATATATATATATATATATATATATATATATATATATTTCTGAAGAATTATTTTTTTTAATTTTTATTACTTCAAATGTTGTACCTTCAGTAGACACCCTTGCCTGAAATAGACGACTCGCTTTTTTTATTTTTAAATATTGTTTATTACGTCCTGTTTACTCGATAAAAATTAATAAAGGAAATTAGCACTCTGACAGAGTTCGAATGGAGGATGGAAGTTGGACGAAGACGAAACGTACAACACTGAAATCCGAAGGAGCGTTGTGATAGTGAACGATGTCTTCCAAAAGCTAAACAAAGTATTAAGATATAGGAAAATATTAGAAAAGTGGACTAAACTGTTATGTAATATCTGTTTTCCCATATGGCAGTGAATGCCGGACAATGTTCTCACAGATGAAGAAGAGACTTGAAGCAACAGAAATGCGGTTCTACACTGAACATGTGAGCAACGATGAAATTTTAGAGAAAATGAAAGCAATGATGATGCGTATAATTAATATCAGGGAAAGACAGTTGAAATTCCTAGAGTAAATGATGAGGAAAGATTGCTTGACAAATTTGATACTCACAGGACAGAATGAAGGGAGAAGGGACAGAAGAAAACAACGTATAACGAACCTAGCAAGCTTGAGTAAATAGAGGACCAAGGTTTAGGAGAGATAACAAAAAGACAAAATTTATTCAGAGCTACAAAGGACAGGAAATTATGATATACTATGATCACCTACTTTCTAAGGAACACGACAAGAAGAAGAAGAAGAAGAAGAAGAAGAAGAAGTGGTAGAAGAAGAAGAAGAAGAAGAAGAAGAAGAAGTGGTAGAAGTGATAGAAGTGGGAAGAAGAAGAAGAAGAAGAAGAAGAAGAAGAAGAAGAAGTGGTAGAAGTGATAGAAGTGGTAGAAGAAGAAGAAGAAGAAGAAGAAGAAGAAGGAGTGGGAGAAGAAGAAGAAGACAATACTCTCCTCTCCCACTTATTATACGCCTACCATGTCATGAGAAAAAAACTATTCAATGAGGATGGAATATTTAGTTTCATTTTCATTGAATAAAAATAAATTTATTGGATTAGTTCTTTTGTTTGAATTTTTTATTTTAATTCTTGATGAAAGACCCAATGGATTTTGTTAGATTGATCAAACCTCCCCCAACCAAACTTGAAAGCGAAAATTGCCGTGCAGAAAGTCTCACCTGCAGATAGTAACAACGGACCTGATTCCAGTGGCATTTGAAATTGGGCAGCTCCAAGAACAAACAGTTCCCGCCATCCTTCTTCCAAGAGGAGGATTTGGTCGAGTGAAGGTAGACTGAGGAACGCGGGTATGCTCTTTACCCATTTAACACTCATGAAGAGAAGGCGCGCTGCAGCTTCACAAATGGCTTCTGGATTGTTGAAATATGACTGCATCAATTCGTGTGGATACTGCAAAAAATGACAAGAAATAAAATAGTCTTAATAGGTGATAAATAATAATAATAATAATATATATATATATATATATATATATATATATATATATATATATATATATATATATATAGTTATACTAGTTTGAAAAACCTTAGGTATTTTGGCTTGTAATTGAACAAACCAATGCCTAAGGAAAAATAAGGATAAAAAAAAAGAAAGAACTAAGAGCATGAAATTTAGGCGAAAGCAATTGTCCAGAATCCCAGCTCATAGTCCAAAGAAAAAACCTCCAAAATGAGTAAAGCAAAAGTAACTAGGAAAAGTGCTAACTATAAACCTAAAGAGCCAGGTAAACCTACCTAGGTTTTACCTACACGCGATCGTCAGGGCAAGGTGACGATTCGTGTAGGTGAAACCAAGAAACCTGGCTCTGTAGGTTCATAGTTATATATATATATATATATATATATATATATATATATAGAGAGAGAGAGAGAGAGGGAGAAAGAGAGAGAGACAGACAGACTTAATAGGTGATAGGTCAAAATGTTAGATATATTATACTATCGTTCATCAATTCTTTCAGACTAGCATTTTCGTCTTAGTTTTCTGTCATTCTATTTCTTCAGCCGATTTACTGTGAGATATATGCTTCATCTGCTGAAAGAAACATGTCAGGATGTGGGTCATATTATAATCATTTACGGGTTTGGCTTTGAGTTCCTTTACAGAAAATAAATTCTCAGTTCTTCTTACCACTAGTTTGACAAATTTTCTATCATAGGCTGATTTTTTAAGGTTAGCTTAAATCTGGCTCCCAGTGAGGATCGAACTCACTATTCAGTCGTAATTGATCTATCGATATAACTCGCTAACCATTATACCACGTCGAAGTGCTGTTAAATTATTTTCTAAGCTTAGCTTAGATGTGGCACAAGGCCGAAGGTATGAGCGCCCAGTGAGGATCAAACTCATTGCTCAGTCGTAATTGATGTAGCAAGACAAGTTTGCTAACAATTACACCACGGCAAAGTGCTCAAATTCTTATAACATATGAGTTGATTTACAGTTTTAATAATGTGTTTAAAACGCATACGTTGTTGAATTGGTGAAACCAACAAATAGTATCCCAGGGATTGATATGAACAATGGGAATTAATGTCCTTGACCTACAAAAATGAGTATCCCAGTCCAAGGAATCTTTGTACGAAAATAATACTGCATCTCAAATTTTCAGACAAAATATGGAGATCTTAAGTATAACTTAAAATACACTTAAGTTATGAAGCTTTAGCAAATATCAAATGTGAGAAGATGCTTGCTTGATACAAAGATTTTTCCACAAGACAAATGCGCAACACGCCTCAAGGACACATGGCACACTGGATAAAGGCGTTAATTAGGTCCAATGACAGAACCCAAAGAGTGTGGGTTCAATACCCGGTTAAAGCAGTGCAGAACTTTCAGAGGGGAATTAACAAGAAATAACTGATAACTGACATCCATTAAACATGGCACGTGGAACTAGAACAGTCTACCCCAGTGAGCGAAATAAAGGGTTCAGTTCGACATTCCAACCACCCTGAAGAAGGCCGGAGCGTACAACGGCCGAAACGTTGTAATAAATATGGCAATATGATGAGGACAATAGTCCGAATAATGTAAATAGTAAACCTGTCTTTTCTTATGATAATTTCCCATCTCCTAGGCTAGCTGCATATATAGCTATGGAGCCAAGTTATATATATATATATATATATATATATATATATATATATATATATATATATATATATATGGATTGGTGTATATGGAATAAATTCCAATAACCAACAAATACTATTCTTAAAAGAGTGCTCAATACAGATTAGAGCAAATATAATTATTTATTCTAAAATTATAACATAAACATGTTATAAAATCACGACGAAAATAGCCATTTTGTTTCAACACTTCTAGCGTCTTTTCAAGTGATGGTGTTGAATGTATAATAAAGGGTTTTAAAAGGTTCAAACCAATCAAACACCCGGGGAAACGCTGTTACATAAGATGGAATGACCAATCAAAATACAAGTACATGAGAATTCAAAAAACTTGACAACGAACTTTGGTTATAAAAATTATTTAATGCTTTAATGTTAGGGTTAGACTAAAATAGAATTTATTCTAACTAATAAATATTAAATTATACTATAAGATTTAAAATTAAAAATTACCAATTTTAAATTTTAAATTTAATCTATATTAAGTTTAAAATTATAAAATTATTTAAAGAAGAAACTGAGGAAAAAATATGCATGTTTTTTATTTATTTTGTTTTTATTTAAATTAATTTGCTGCTCTGAACTTCATGATAAAGTAGATATAGTTGAAGGAAGAACATGTGATATATAATGTGTGTGTGCGAACTTTTGTGTCGTTCTGTGCGTATTTATGCCTCTATATTGTAAGAGGAAGTGAACTGAATATCACGCTTTTAGATAAAGAGAATATAGGTACAAGAATCAACACTGCATGGTTTTGAACATCGCATCGAAGCGTGAAACTGACAGTCACCATGCAGTGTTGGTTCCTTTGTCATCTCTCTCTCTCTCTCTGTGTGTGTGTGTGTGTATAGATATTCCTTAATTGATAGGCTTTTATATGGATCATATGTGTATTTATTGGTAAGAAGAAAAGCGTAAAGATTAATCATTTCTCAGTTACAGAGATTTCATGTTACATGAGTCAAATTCTAATTTATTTTTACGGATATAAAGGGGATAATGGCATAGTTTTGTCACCTGTTCTGAAGAAGATATAGAGGGGAGGAGAAGAATAAGAAAGAAAGAAAGAAAGAAAGAAAGAAAGAAAGAAAGAAAGATCAACGTGAAGAAATAAAAAAGTAATTAGGAATAACAGGAGATAAAATTGGGGAAAGAAAGAAAGAAAGAAAGAAAGAAAGAAAGAAAGAAAGATCAACATGAAGAAATAAAAAAGTAATTAGCAATAACACGAGATAAAATTGGGGAAAGAAAGAAAGAAAGAAAGAAAGAAAGAAAGAAAGAAAGAAAGAAAAAGAATTGCTTCATTGTTGTGCTGCTTTGCACATATGTGTAATACTGTGACATTTTACAAATGATTAAGGGAGCTGAACTATAACGACAATGAAACTGAGGAGAGTTGGCATCATTGTTCAGTTTTTTGTAAATCAACCACTGTAACATCTGACTGACCGAGAAGTGATAAATGGGAAGGCAGGAAAGAAATGTTTGAAAACAAACAAAACAAGAGAAATGTGGCCGAGGAGGGAAGATGGAAAACAGGAAAGGGAGATAACTCATTGAAATTAAACTTTTGGTCATTTAATTTTATGCTTTAAATAGCTCTCTTTTTTCTCTCTCTCTCTCAGAGTGAGATAAAAATAAGAGGAAGCTAATGACATCAACTAGGAATATTATATAAGTGATTATGCATGATTAAGTATTGAATATAACTGGATACAAAATGTTTTTATTCTGTATTGAATCACTGAGTGATTAATTAAATTAAAAGCGGTTTTGTCTATATATCAGGCAAATTATGGCGCGTTTGGCTTACTGAAAAGCGTGCCTAATTTCACGAAGAAATTAACGTTCATTAAAATTTTATTTGTTTCTGACTTATTTATTCATATTTTCATATGCATAACCAGATATATAAACAATGATTATGCACAACGTTTTGTGAATTTTGTAACCTTTTGTTAAAGGTAATGTTTTCAATATTTTAAACCAATGGCGATTTTTAACGAAGGTTATACCTGTGAACACCTTTTTTCTTTAGAAGCAGAAAACATTCATAATATTTTTTTCTCTGAAGAAGAAATATATTTTTCTTTTGAAAAGTATTTTATTCATGGTAATAGTAAAAGTAACCGTTTCCTTACAAGGAAATATCTAATATTTATTGGCGAAGCAGCCACTGCTATTTTGGGTCGAAATTTATAAAATGTTTCTATTAAAACAATTTTTCATGAAAATAGGTTTCTCAAGTGAAGTTGTTATTTTTTCAGTATTGGTGGGGGTTTCCATTCTAACCTTTTGTTGGAAGTAGTGTGGAACATAACATATTATGTTCTTGCTTTCTCTTTGAGTTACATATGATCGCTGTCGTTGAAAATCCTCAATTGATGAGGATTCTCGTATTTATTACCGTTTTTCATTGTAATAGCGTCAGTAAATAAATTCTCTTCTGTAACAGCCTGTACTTAATCATACTACTGTCGTAAAAAAAAAAAATTGCACATTTTTTCGGCAGATGCATATACGAATGATCTGCTGACGTATGTTAGCCCGTCATATGATGAGCTATTTCTCATGTAACCCGTGGCTCGGAAAAGATCTCTCGTGCTTCGTCAATGGTAATATTGTGTGTTATTCACTAAAAAGCAGACGTATCCGCTATTGAGTTTGAAGTTGTGCCCATTACAATGGCGTTTGAAAGCAGAAAAGCGACAATGTGAATAAACAAGGGAGGTAAATGTGGGTAGTTAAATTTTGGTGAGACAAACCGAGATAAAGAGAGAATATTGTGTCGTGGGGAGCAAGAAGAAAAAAAATGAGAAAATATATGCCAGAGGGGGAGAAAAATTAAAAGAGAGAAAAATAAAGTAGAGAGCGAAATAAAAGTACTATAATAGGGGAGGGGAAGGACAGAAAAGGGGGAAAAGAAGATAGATCTTAAAAGTATGACAGGAAAAGGTAAAAAAAGAGAGAAGACAGAGATTGAAAAGTGAGAGAGAGAGAAAATATAGATGCAGGGAGAAGAAAGAAAAAAATGAAGCAGAAAGACGGAAGTGAAAGAGAGTGGGTAAAGAGACAGAAGAAGAGAGGAGAAAGGCAGAGAGAAAAGAGAAAAGAAAAGAAAAGAAATGAAAAGAAAAGAAAAGAAAAGAAAAGAAAGGATGAAAGAAATGACAAATGGTAAAAGAAAATGAGATAGAAGGAGATAGAATAGAAAGGTAAAAGAGACGGAGTAAAAAAGAAATCGTGTACCTAGAGAGAGAGAGAGAAAGAAAGAGAGAAAGAAAAAGAGAGAGAAAGAGAGAGAGAAATGTTGCGGGGAGTGGAAATAGAAAGACAGAAGAAATAGAAAAAAGAAATTTAAAAAGTATGGCAGGAGAAGGAAATAAAATAAAAACTGAATGTGATAAAGAAAGAAAGAAAGAAAGAAAGAAAGAAAGAAAGAAAGAAACAGGCAGACGGATATAAAACGGAGACAAAAATAAGTAAGGGGGGGGGTAAAAAGAGAGAAAAATAGAGACAGAAAAAGAGAAAAATAAAATGGAGGAACGAAAAATGAACAAAGAAAAGAAAGAAAAAGAAAACGAGAGAATTTTTTAAATGGTGAAAGAAAAAAGACAAATGGAGAAGCAAAAATAGAGAGTAAAAAGGAAAACGAATGACAAAAGGACACGGGGATTTTTCTTAAAATCTGGCTCCTGATTCCCCATGCTATCCTCTACCTTTAAAAGAACCAGATCAGGCCCAAAATGGAGTACGGTTGCTATATTTGGACGGGAGCTGCCCAATCCTCACTTTCCAGTCTTGATAGAGCTCAAAAGCGTCTTCAAGTCCTTATTGTAAAATTATTATTTTCCACCCTCCAACCCCACCTCTCTCTCACAGGCGGGATGTGGTGAGTCTCTCACTTCTCACTGTTTTATCGCTACTACCATGGAAAGTGCTCAGACGAACTGCATCTCCTTGTTCAACCAGATCTAACCTTTATGGTTAGGATCCGCCATGCCACTTACATAGTAGCAAACCACCGTCGTTCCCTTCGTATTCCATCACTCAAACTGCTTCTTCCCGTGAACCACTGCCCTGTGGAACCGACTCCCAATAGAATGTTTCCCCGATCACAACCTGTTCAACAGTTAACCTGTTCGACACTTAACCGTTAACTTCCCCTTTATCCATGTAAGCTACCCCTTGACGTAACACTACCTCGCGTGCCGCCGGGCCGTGTACAGAGTGAAACTTACTGTAAAAAAAAAGGGGGGGAACAGTAATGAAGAGGGGGAGAAAAGAACAGATAAATAGACAGAGACATAGAATGATTCTACAAATTATGAAAGAAATGTTTTATAGAAACGGAAGAGATAATTAAAAAAAATATCACTAAAGAAAAGACAAGAATTTTGGTGACTGATTATGAGAAACGATAACATTCGGTACATAAGGTCGACACATGTACTGCAGCCGTAACAGCAGTGGTGTGTCTAGAACAAGATAGCCTGACGAAGTCTATCCCTCTTCAGAGTGGTTTTTAATAGAGAGGTATGACTAAGTCGAGACTAGTCATTACCTTGATGGGTGACCATTTGGGTTTAATAGATATGGTAAGCTTGGATGTGCGGGTGGTGCAATGGATAATAGCTTGGAATTGTTAATGGGAGAGTCTAGTTCCAATTCCAGTTTGGTTCGTTATATTCACTTATGCGCAAATACCCTTGGGAAAGGCATGAATCCAGCTCCTCCTCACCATGCAGATATGAGTTAATTAGTAAGATTGCATCACTAAAATCATTATTCTTGCAATCTAAAAATATTTTAAATAACCTGAAAAGTGTTGATAAGCCATAAAGAATGAATTAATCTTATATAGTTGCAACGTCAAGGCAAGATAGGCCAGTCTGCTCTGTTATTTAACATATAGTTGAAGGCAGAATATTTATATGGCTTATCAACCCTTTGTGGGTTATGTAAAGCTGAAATAATGTAAGAATTGTGAGCGAATGAATATTGCATTAATGAGATTTTGTGAATAAAAAAATTTCCAGACACAAATCTTACTATTTAACCTATGTTTTGGGGGAAGGAATGGTTCCACACCTTTCCTAACGGCATTGGAGGACTCTCTCGTCGTATATCGACATATGAGGGTCAAGAAGTTCAGTTCTCAGAACTGAAAAGCCAGACTAGACACACATATGATTTGCTTACAATGGTGAAGGCTTGTGCAGAATCAACCCTACTTTTGGAATAGCCGAATACAGAAAACAGGTGCACAGCGTTCCACAATGTCCCGAAAAGACCCTCCTCGGGATCTGAATTCTGAGTTGTCCTTTTCCTAGATCACTTGGTACCCAAGGCTATAGGACCTAGTCTGTTCTGCTATTTAACCATAGCTAGATTCATATATTTGCCAAAAGCAAATTGTAATTGAATGTAATGAACGACTGGACTTCGAACACAGTTCTCTGATTTCTTCTTCCCATTACACCACTCGTACATCCACTGAAGGATCATAGATCCATGCCTATCTGTGAATGCAGAAGTGAGTCGAAAAAAGGCACGAGTAGGAACTGAATTCGACACACCCAAATTCCGCGTCAGGTAAAAGTATATAACATTTTTTAAGATGTTGGGGTAAAGATCGTTAAAAAAGTAATTTTTATAATTCTCTTTAAAATTATTCACCTTTGGAGTGGGTTGGCATATAATTCCATTGGTAATTTGTGGTTGTTCGACAGCGCTAACTGTAATACCGTCATTGACGTGTTCGAATGGTACCAGACCAGGTAAAAAATGGTTTCGGAATGGATTGGATGGCATTGATGACGCCAATTCACTCGTTTCTTTGAGATACATGGCCACTTGACGTCGTATAGTTGAATTACGTGGTCCTCGTTCATGTTGGACGGCTAGAAAAGAAATTTTAAAAAATTAAATTTAAATTCAAAATCAATATAGTAGGATAAAATTCATTATTATTTATGACATTAATTAGAGACATTTTTTAAATCATTAGAACTCATACACGCTTTTTCGTTTAAGTATGACGAATACGTTACTTTGAAGTGATTATAATTCCAATCCCATTTTTCTCGATCTAAAAACGTCAAGATTTAATAACACCCGGCTCTTCATAATGACTGAGATATTTAAAATGACAACACGTATAAATATTGTCGGCTCAAGTCGACAAAATAACGGCTGAGTAAAAGGTTACGACGTTTTTGTTTCGGTACGAGAGATTTGTATTCCTTAAATAGAGTAATTGTACCTTGCTTTGTCATGATGGCTTTTCGTAGCCTAATTGGCAAAAGGCACACACACACACACACATAGGAATCTACCTGTTAAAAGTGATATATATATATATATATATATATATATATATATATATATATATATATATATATATCAGATCCTTACAACTATGTAATGAATTGCCTCCTCACTAGATGCCTCACACTTTTTGTTTTGTTTCTAAGTTATATAAATACGTATGACAAAATGGAAGAACTTTGCGATGCGTTTCCTTCGGCGAAAGCACTTCCATAAAATAACGGTTTTATTGATGGAATCAGTTTTGTCTGTAAAACGTGAGGAAGCGGGAGAAAATTTTTTTTTATTATTAATGGTAATTTTATGTTTAATCTTTTCAATTTATCAACGATCTCCCTTAATAAGTGTCAATGGATCTAACCAACTCCTTTATCCAATGATAACAGCAAAAAATTGCAATATGAGCATTGGTAAAAAATGGTATCTTATAATACCCAGAAATTCATACACTGATGTCCTCAAGGCACAGTGGATAAATCCAGTGACAGGACCCAAAGAGTGTGAGTTCAATACCCGGTTAAGGCAGTGGAGAACTTTCAGGGGAAAATTAACAGGAGATCACTGATAACTGACATCCATTAAACATGGCACGTGGAACTAGAACAGTCTACCCCAGTGAGCGAAATAAAGGGTTTAGTTCGACATTCCAGCCACCTGAAGAAGGCCGGAAGGTACAACGGTCGAAACGTTGTAATAAATATGGCGACAAAAATGAGGATAATAGTCCGAATAAAGAAGACTGGAGTTAACAGAATATGGTTCTACAGAAGGATGCTGAGAATTCCGTAGAAGAAGCGCGTAGGCGATGATGAAGTTTCAAGTAAAATGAAAACAAAAAAGAAATCTTATACTCAGAATCAGAAAGAGATTGTTGAAAGGTTTGCTTAGAGAATTTGACACTTTCAGAATATCGAAGGCGAAAGGAACAAGTAAAGACAACGGGTCACCTACCTGACGATGGTGGAACGGGGTTAGTAGATATGGCAAAAGAACAAACGTTAATAAGTGCTACAAGAGATAAGAGGTTGGGGATTATCCATATCCTGAAGCGACATGGCACATAAAAGAAGATGAAAAAATTAAGGAAAAAATTTCTTTTCAAAAGTAATTTTCAATATATCTTTGTGTTTTAAAATCTGAGAAAACGTATTTAAAAAAAATTAGAGTGAAGGTAGTTATAGAAGAATATACGGCAGAACTATTCTATATAGATTGTTGTTAAACTAATTGTATTTTTGCTTAATGGTCACCTCTATTCACGTTTACAAAGACGTAAATAACTATTCAACATTTTCTTAACAAAGAGAAAAGATGCAACAATAATAACGATAAAGCCTCTTCCTAAGAACACTAAACAAAATATTATGACTACAAAAGCAATTGAAAATACACTTACAAAGTTAACGATAGCAAGAAAGAAAAGATAATGTAACAAGAAAATACCCGATATAAATAACACATTAATTTTGCCGTGCTCGCTTCTAAACAGTACATTTCCAGAGCTCAGGTGAAAACGATGTCACGTCACTGACATGAGTTTGACAGACGCATAAGTAAATGAATTAAAACAAATGATATTGAAAGAGAAGCGAAGTGGAGTGTAAGATTCGTAGAACAGGAAGGAAGTTGAATTAGAATATTTATAGAATTTACATAATTTAGCACAAAATAATGATGTCTTGCTTTTTTTCTCTTTCTTTTGAGAAAGCATTAAAAAATAAAGTTTTATTGAATAGAAAAAGCCTTCTGTGAACAAGCTTTTGCTTAGTACTATCAAACTATCAACACTTATTGCTCGACAAAGGAAGGACCTTGGGGAAAAAAAAACTTTCGGGAAGACTAAAAAAAAAAAAAAATGAATGAGATTTAAGATAAAGACCGGAAGTTAGAAGGCACGTGACCCAGCCTTTGTCGTCAGTTTTCTTTTATTGTTACACTCTTTTACGTTGAAAGAAAAATATCTTATGTCTGTCCTTTCGTTCTATCTCTGTCTCTCGTTTCCTCAGGATGTGGGTGACCATGGTTCTCCACAGCTTCCTGTTTTTTGTCGCTTTCGGCAATACTTGCTCCTTTATGACCACCTTTTGTCTTTTTGTGATTTTTCTTAAATTTGTCAAGTAGTTTATTCACTGTTCCTTTTTCATTCTTATACCATTGCTACGTCCTGGGGGTTCTCAAAGACCAACTTCCCCTCCCCCATTATACGTCTCTAACATCTCAATGCCTTTCTTTTCTTTTTTTTTACTAAAGTTCACCCAATACAAGACACATGTTAGAAAGTTACTGAATGAGATGTGTGATATGAATGCAAGAGGAGGCAGAAAAATAAATGAAGATTATGTGGAGAAGGAGGATAGAATAGGTTGACACTTGACTCGAAGACGTTAAGATTGTAGCGTCCAGGGACGAATCTACGCGGTAGTTTATTCCACAAAGTAAAAGTTGTCGGGGAAAAGTTAAGCAGAACCTCCTCCTTACAAATGGAACTTAGAGGAGATGTGGGTAATTTGACATAGTGGACATAGCACGGTGAGTTCTATCTAGAAAGGTCTAAACTGGTGAAACTAAAGAATGAAGCTTTCTTTTTGTTTATATTTTTAGAACTTTGTTATTAAGAATCTCTTATCTTAGATAATAGAAGCTCTGTCAAGGAAGATGAAATATTGTTAAAACCTGTATACAAATTTAATGTGGATGATCTAGCGATTATAGAACTTTATATACAGTTATTTCAATCAATTCATACCAAGCCAGGCGATAATACCACCAAAATGTAAGGGGCTACTAAGAGTGGGAGACAATAAGAAGACATTAGAAACGCAATCCTAAACAGGAAACAAGAGATAAACTTCTACTCCTGTTCAAAAGACTGGGGAAGAGTGTGATCTGGGCGATAGGCGAACCTATCTACTCTTATTATATATATAAAAAAAGGAATTTTTCTGTTATATTTTTCGCCTTCAAAGCAAATTGATAAACGTAACTGTAAGTTCTATTCTGATAGTAACTTTTCTCGGACTTCTCACATGTGGAACTCTCTTCCAGCTTCTTGCTATCATGTCGACTACAATTTTCCAAACTTTAAATGCAACGTGAATCATCATCATCTTCTGTCTCCTTGAAACCTGTTCTTTTTATTGTCCTTACCCCTCAGCAAACATTTTCTTAGTTTCCATTGTCTTTCATCCTCCGTAACCTCTTGCGTCTTTGTGGCTTTATCGCCTTGCTAGGAATGGAATCATAAAAAAAAAATTCGATTGAGATTTCATTGTCAATTATCAGATTCAATTGTAATCCACTTGACGAGTGCGGCTCAAGAAAGAATAAATTTCAAATAAAATCCAAACAAGTGATTAAACAAAAGAAATTTAAATGATAAATGTATGTAGCCCTAGAGAAGCACACACTATGCAGCTAAGGAAAGGATCGTTCGCATTGACTCGATGATCCCGACTACGGTCGATTCCGTCTTTTTTTTTTTTTTTTAAATGATAAATATAATGAACAATGAGAAGAACACGCTTGTCATAGCAAAAAGAAAATTAAACTATAGTGTTTGAATTTGATGCTACTTTTGTTCCATTTGTCCCCTCTAGCATTTTTATCCAGTTGTCCCTTATAATGTTTTGTTCCGTTTGTCCCTATAACATTCTTGTTCCATTTGTACTCTAGAGTGTTTTTGTTCCATTTGCCTCCTATAATGTTTTTCCATTTGTCCCTATAACGTT